TAAGTCCTTTTGAATTCTCCTATCCACTATCCCTTAACCTCGTGACTCAGAGGTCAAGGAATAGGAGATAGGGTGAGATTTAGGAGCTGATTTTTGGATTATCGGAACGCAACCCAGCTCTGTCCCCGTTGTTTTCACAAACCCCCCGCCTCTGTTAGTACACATTTACTGACACAAACATTTGTATTATCTGTTGTAGACCCCAATAAATAAAATAAAATAAGAACTCATTCTCAAAAAAGATAAACGCCATTCTTAAAATGTATAAACGAACAATAGTTTGATTAATATTGATTAGAGTGCACAATAGAAATAAAATAATTGAGAGAAGAAAAAGAGATATGTTATCTATCAAAACCCAGTTAGATTAACATTCATTGGATTGCACACTTTGTTTGTTTGTGTGGATATGTAGCATTAACATTTTAATAGCACTTAATGACTGACTGAATGGAAATGACAATAAATGAAAATGTAAAACGAAAAAAGTGATCATGAAAATGTTTCCAATAAATGAATAAAATGATTTTTGACCACTTTGTTGTTCAGATATATCACATATTTGTAACTAAATGATACATGAATTGAAACAAAATACAGTATAAACTGAGGAGTGACTCCCGTGAGGTTCATGTATTTTCTTCACTCCGCTGGGAAACTGCTCTCATGTCAAGAAGCATCAGATCAGTGCATGCGCTGCATCGTCCAATCAGTGAGCGATACACAGTAAGGGGGCGGGGCGAGTATCTGAGGATTTCATCGGAGAATGGTCTGATGGTTCCTCGGTTATCGCTCCTCCATTATCGCTCCTCGATCCTCCGGCAGAAATAAGAGCCGTGGGACGGTACTCAAGATGGCGCAGACAAATCAACTTCCGGTGAGACCGAGGACCGAGGAATGAGGAAATGAAAATAGTCGACCTGAGACGGGGCCTGTGAATGTAGAGAGGGACCAACAAGCTCTCCCGTCTTCACAGTAACTCGCAGAGACGGCATTTAACCCTTCACATTCCAACAAACTGAACAGGCAGATTCGAAGGATTTATTTCTTTGGAAATATTATTTTAAATACAATTAAATCAAGTTATTTTGGTAAAACTAATGAAAAGTAACAACACAAATATAAAAAATAATATTTAAATATATATAACATTTTTTTTTTTAATGTTTTCAAATATTATTTTTTAGAATAGGCTATCTTAGGCCCTCACAGAGGGCCTAGAGGGCCCTGACGGCTCGCCACTGATATTTATATAAATATATACCATTTCAGAATCAAACAGAGCACTCTTATAATAACGTAACACTATCAGAGACTGGATATATCCCCCCCTCTCCCCTCTCTCGCTACAATGAGGGAAATAAATTACGGGCCAAAAGTTTTTTACAAGTATTAAAAGTAAGCAGAGGACACCAAACCAACTGAGACCTGTCTGTCCGCTGCATCTACGCACTGTACAACACACACACCTACACACTATACAACACACACACCACACACTGTACAACATACATACCTACACACTGTACCACACACCTACAGCTCCTAAAGCATATATCAGGCTATAGCCGTTGTGTATTTTATTATGTGAAGCACTAAATGGTTTTAGAAAAATGTCGACTCTTTGTTTGTAGATAATCTACTAAACTACAGCAAATACAGAGAGTAACGTAGGCCTGTTATACTGAGTGATATATATTTTACACACTCTCTGCTTTCTGCACGGACCTCACAGCTGTTCTCTCTGTAAACATCGCGTTGCGATGAGAGCAGAACTAATAAAATAATATCATGGGCTGATATCATGGGCTGATATCATGGGGTATCTTAAGGGCTGTAAATATAATAAGCCTGTGTCTAAAATTGACAACAGGCTTATTATATGTACAGCCCTTAAGATACACTTTTGTGTTTAACAGCTGACCACTACCATGACGTACTTTGTTTTAGTAGATTTCGCATGAGAGCAAAATGTATAAATATGAGCATTACATGATATGAATATGAGAACAAAATGCATGAATGTGTGAGTGACCAGTGGCGAGCCGTCAGGGCCCTCTAGGCCCTCTGTGAGGGCCTAAGATATTCTAAAAAATAATATTTGAAAACATTAAAAAAAAAAACATTTTTTAAATATTATTTTTATATATTTTTGTTGTTACATTTTTCATTAATTTTACCAAAAATAACTTGATTTAATTGTATTTAAAATAATATTTCCAAAGAAATAAATCCTTAGAATCTGCCTGTTCAGTTTCTGTTGGAATGTGAAGGGTTAAATGCCGTCTCTGCGAGTTACTGCGAAGACGGGAGGGCTGTTGGTCCCTCTCTACATTCACAGAGGGCCCAGCTATAGTAACTCAACGAGAGAGTAATGTCAAATGACAGTACCATAGGCTACATGCACTAGGGTCTGAGACGTACTTCCGCCTTAGCCGTTATACTGCTCGGACGCTTCCGGGTTGCTTCTGGTCTGCGTAGCTGAGCGTCCATAAATGTTTTACTGTTTAAATCTGTGGTTTAAATATGAGTCGACGGAAGATTTTCAAAACGGAGCATTTGCAAAGACAAGTAAAGAACTACTCCGAGCACTGCTGTGTCCCACTTTGTACGGCGTCAGCTAAATTCAACGGCGTCCTAAGTTTCCATGGCTTTCCGACCGAACTCGAGCTGCGAAGACAGTGGCTGGTTAAAATACGACGCGATAACTTTACAATCTCCTCTCACTCCAAGGTCTGCAGTCGTCACTTCGCTACGGATCAACTAATAGAGCCAAAAACCCTTGATGGCCGTAGGAGGCTTGTGAAAGGTGCTGTCCCAACTCTGTTTGAGTGGAATCACTTCACTGCTCAAACACCGCGGGCTAGTGTTTGGGAGAGAAGGGAGCGGCCCACTGAACCAGTCTCTCGGGAGGAGCAGGAAGAGCACATCGATGTCCGTGACCATGATTACTGCTCAACCCCTGAACCAGCTTCACTGGACATGTCCTCTCAAGCTACATAAGACAACTCCAAAACATTGGAGCAACTGCAGGAGTTAAGAGTCCAGCGAGAGTTTTGCTTACAGCGGTTTGCTGGCTCCGACGACAACATCCGATTCTATACCAGGTAATGTTTTGGCTAAATTCTATCCAAGTTTTTGAGATGGGTTAGCTTATAAAGAATCCTGTTTACCTGCCGTTTGACTGCTGACTATTTGCATGCAGTGTTGGAATAAGTAGGCTACTCAACTTAACTGAAGTATAAGTACAAATACTATGGTTTGAAAATACTCCTGAACTGAACATGTAGAATCATAAATCATGTGTTTTCATAAGTAACTAGAAACTATGAAGGTTAACTAAATGTGGTGGAGTAAAACATACTAATACTAACAACATACTGATAATACTTTACTACAAGTGGAAATCTTCAAAACCTTACCAAAGTAAAAGTACATGTCAATATCCACTGCGTTTCTCCCAGTTGCACACTTAAGAATGAAGAGTAAAAGTAGTCATTCTGTGTAAAATGTTCCCTGTATGTTTTAGATTATTATTACTGCTGCTTTAATGTAGTTGTTGTTACTGCTGTATATTACTATACCTGCACCAAGTGCCTTCTTAATCAGTCTATTTGAATTGTAATGTATTATAGCAAACAAGAGGAAAGCATTAGCCCATGTGTTACAGTTAACGAGTCAATTAATGACTGACATGTGTCTTTTGTGTACAGATTCCCGAGCTATAACCACCTGATGGCCTTCTGGTTTTTGATTGAGCCTTCCATTTATAAAATGGTTCGTGTTACAAGAGCGATATCAGCTGCCAAGAGGAATGAAGAAGTGGTTACACACGCACGTCCATCAACGGTAGGCTACGTTTCTTTTAACACACAATCTAAACACAAACTGAAGGGAAAATGTTTCTCCAACATTTCATTGTTTTCGTGTAGGCTAAAAGGCTATAGTACTCAATCCTTTTTGAATACATCAGAGAACTAAAACAACTTAATGTTTTTCCCATGGTGTGCTACACTCATGACATTAATATAGTACCCTTTTTTTGTTTATCTTCCAGAGACAGCTGCTTCAGCCAATTGACGAGCTCTTCCTTTTTCTCTGCTTCCTGTCGGTGGGTTTGAAAGAGAGGGATCTTGCAAACCGCTTCAACGTACACCAGTCCACTGTGAGCTGCATCATTGCAACATGGACGAGTTTTCTTACAACTTTATTGGGGTCACAGTGCATCTGGCTTACACCTGCAGAAGTTCAAGCCCACCTCCCAGAGGCATTCAAAGATTTCCCAGACACACAGGTGATCCTGGATTGCACAGAGCTGAGGTGTCAAACACCATCCTCACTCCTCCTCCAAAGTGAAATGTATTCTACATACAAATGTCACTGCACCATGAAAGCCCTGGTTGGCATAGCCCCACATGGCGCAGTGACATTTGTTTCCAGTCTGTATGGTGGTTCTGTCAGCGACAAGGAGATTTTCAAACAGTCTGGAATAGCTGCGTTGTTGACTGAAAACATGGCAGTGATGGTAGATAAGGGCTTCCTGATCAGCGATTGCTGCAAATGCAAAGTGTACTGCCCACCTTTTCTGTCAAAGCAGAAGCAAATGCCAGCCTATCAGGTGAGGGAGACACAGGCCATTGCCAGACTGAGGGTTCATGTGGAGCGTGTCATTAGGAGGATAAAAGAGAACACACTGTTTGATGGTGTCATCCTCCTGTCTCATGCCTACAACATCAACCAACTGTTTGCAGTAGCATGTATGCTGTCAAACTATCAGAACAAAGCACTGGTCAAGAAATGGGTGAAATAAGACAAGATGATGACACCTGTGCAGGTAGCTGTGATTAAGCTGGGTGAGCACACCGTAATCCCGTGTTGCCTGACACACGCTAGTGTTTTGTTTGAATAAATGGTAAATAGCAAATTACAATGCGTTGATGATTTCTTACAAATGCACTGATTTACTATTCTTTACACAAAAATCACTTCACTTTATTGTCTTTTTAAATACAATTGTATATTTATTTACATATATGAAATGTGACAAACAATATATATCAAAAACAAAATATTGAAATCACATTTTGTTGTCATTCAGAACACATGATTGAGGGATTGCCTCCTAAAAACAATGACGGCTGAGCCAGGGTCTAGCAGCTAACTGCTTACAGAGTTAACAATGGCTACAGTGCCCACTACTTTTTTAATGACAGGTACTTCGGCATGTATGAGTAAAAAAAAAAAAAGTCTACTTTTTCTCTGATTGCTCTTTGCACTTCTGGATCTGTGCATATTCTTTGCACCAGGTAGTCCTCTTGTGCCCACACTACAAAGTCACACCACTACATCCCAGATACAAGAAGTTGACCCTGTACTTGCCAGTAATAGGCATGGCTTTTCTTGAGCTTAGGGGAGCCACATTCCATCTGCACATATTTGCAGTCGACATAATTTGGGACATTGGGACATTTGAATTCAACAAGGCCAAATTGGGGATATTCTGTTGGGTCAAAAACAACTCCATCAGGGGAGGCACCAAGCCAGGGCGTAGAGGGGTGAATGATAAGGCCACAAGGGGAGTAGTTCACGTTTGCCAGTCTACTGTATTCAGCTGCTACTGTGGGCTCCATCTCGGCACCTCTCCTCATTTCTGCGGTCTGCCTTGTACCTTTGAGTATTCGCTCTGCAAGAGAGTTAGCAGAGCTCTCACCTCTGACGTGACAAATCTCTCTTAACCTAGAGGCAGTAACCCTGGGTTTGCGGAGCAGATGCCACTCTGAGCTAGAGCTTTGCTCACGGGTAGCCTCCTCAATTTTGTGAGACATTTCCAAATCAACAGATAAGCTGTTCATATGTAGTTGCTCCTCTTCTGAGCACACCAGCGGTAAATCACATGGCAAGATCACATACCCCTCTATGGGCAAATGGGGTGTTGGTGGTGTGTCAGTGTGAAGTGTGGTGTACCGAGACGTCAAAGCAGGCATCTGATAGGACAGAACACTGCCCTCCTGCACAATCCCGAAGGCACGTTCCACAAGGGGCTTGTCAGGTCTCATGTTCATTGTGGTCACAAGCGGCCTGTCTTCAATGCTGAATGCTGAGTATGCCTCCGTAACTCTGAACAGGCAAGGATCTGGTAATGGCCCCACCATGCCTCTGTAGAATCCACTCCTACAAAGAATGGCAAAGACAATATAGCACATTAATGTGACAATAAAGGTTAGGAATACAGCACCAGAATTATGAATTTTAAAAACACAGGAAACACAATTTTCCAGCTAAAATTACCTTACTCCAGTCTGCACCATCCTATTTGGTACAGGCTTGGTGAAGACCATGGAGTTGATGGGCCCTGGCTTCACACCCTTAAGGAAAAGACAATAGGCTACATGCACAGTCACTTCCGCATTCTACTCATAGCGGCCAATTCATTTCCTGTTTGAAAATGACGACCTTCTACACCTGCTGCCTACAAGAGCTTCCGAAATTAAAAATGTCAGATGTTCATCGGATTTGCCGGATGACTAAAGCCCCAGCCGGCAAACTCGATAAAGGCTTCAAATTATATGCTGCGTCATATATACACAACTATGAAGGTAAGAAGGTAACCGGTACTAACCAGCTAGCTTATGCTCCGGGTTACGCTAACATTAGCTGTCAAAAGCTAGGTAACGCCAGAGCCCTATAGTATAACTACTATTATTATTAGGGCCCGAGCACGAGAGTGCTAGGACCCAACGGCGTCCTAGCACGAAGTGCAAGGATACCTATTGTTATTGAAGTGCAAGGATACCTATTGTTATTCGTGGAATTATTCTTATTTTTCTGCTGGCGTTTCCTGTTTTTGAGGCCTTTAGGACGCTGAAAAAGTTGTATAATTTTGCACAGATTCCAGAATCGGTGAAAACTACAATATTCTGGACTCAATGTGTTCAAATTGTCCAACATGCTCTCTAGCGCCACCTATGGCCATTTCCGTTTTTGGAAAGATGTACAAAGTTGCACCGTAACTCCAAATGACCTGACATTTTTCACACTTACTCGGGTGGACCTGCTCTACATATAATGTCCTTGTACCCCTAAGCTCCGCCTACTTTATTATTTTTTTAAATTAGCATAATTTTAAAAACAGTTAAATATTCACTTAAATTTCAAATTTTGGTTTTTCAACACCAAACTCAGTATACAGTATCGCCGGAGGGTCAGACACATTATCGTAGGATAATGTGTCTGACCGAGCATGTTCAGTCGATAAATGTGGCCCTCATTACTCTAAACGTGTTCGCAAAAAGGCGGGGCTTAGATAGAAATGCTCATAACTCATCAACAATGTACAAAAAAAACACACATTTTGATGGTAACAATAGGCACAACAAGTATTTTCCATTTTGGACTATAGGGGGCGCCAAAAACATGACAAATGTATAACTCATGAACTGATGGACGAAATCTTTTTTTATTTTTTTAGACATACTCTGGGGATAAGTATGCACTTATATTTAAAGTGTCACAACGAATGACAAATGTGGGCGTGGCCTGTACTTTTTTTTTAATGACGATGTGCTAAAATGTGTTTCGGTACGCAAAACTTGGTACACACGTCACAGCCCACGACCTTTTCAAGAATGTAAAAAAAAAACGTAATTTTCCAAAAAAACTGCTCACTAGCGCCCCTATTGTGTGGTAGTCTCATAGTTTCTCAGAACTTCACGAATATTGGCACAGACATTCCTCATGGAATTGAAGACATATTTGTACATACATTCCATTAGCCTCGCCCCCCCTATGTGCGTTTTTTATGCATTTTACGCACGTTCTTGCGAACTCCTCCTAGGGGAATGATCAGAAAAATTCCAATGCAGGACATGTTTAGCCCCTATCCAATATGATACTTAATTGAGGAGCACATTTTTGAAAAATTACTCGTGGAGGTCGTAAGCTAACAGCGAATACACCATTTATTACGATTTACATGTCACAAATGACTCCAAATGACTCCAAACTACTCGCGTATACTTTTTCCAATATTCACGAAACGCTGTATACATATTGCTATTATGATTGCACACATATTTCAAATTGCCTTCCATTAGCCCCGCCCACCAGAAAGTCGGCAATTTAGAAAAATGTGCATTTTTCAGCCATTTTAAGCACATTTCTGCGGACTCCTCCTAGGGGAATGATCGGAAAAATTCCAATCCAGGACAACTTCAGCGCATATCCAATGTCATGCTACATTGAGAAGGAATAGTCCTTCGCTCAAACGGGGAGCTCGTAGGCTAACGGAGAATGTACAATTTTTGACCAAGTATATGTCAGATAAGCGACGGAGACCTGCCGGTCGGCCACAGCAACACACACAACACACACACACACACACACACACACACACACACACACACACACAACACACACACACACACAACACACACACACACACACATCACACACACACACACACACACACACACACACACACACACACACACACACACACACACACACACACACACACACACACACACACACACACACACACACACACACACACACACACACACACACACACACACACACACCACACACACACACACACACACACACACACACACACACACACACACACACACACACACACACACACACACACACACACACACCACACACACACACCACACACACACACACACACACCACACACACACACACACACACACACACACACACACACACACACACACACACACACACACACACACACACACACACGTTTATTTGTAGATATCTCCTAAAGCCTACAAATAAAGTGTGACATGAAGGCCTGTTACATTTGTTATTGAGCGATATATATTATACACACTGTTCTGCTTTCTGCACTGACCTCAGCAGCTGTTCTCACTGTAACATCACCTAACATCCAGGGGAGATGTAATTAGTGAGTAAACAAACGGTAAAGGGCAGAAAGTCTGATGCACATTTTATCATCTCAAATAACTTATAATCACAAAGGGAACAGTTTGCAGAGCTGTGCTTCGTTTGACAAAAGTCCAGCCATGCGTCACACCTCTTTTAAACATCACTGTTGGCTGAAATCGTCTCAGGAGAATACTTCAGTGTACCCTCGGTTATAGCTCCTCCAGAGACACTCCTCTCTCCTCTAAATCAGTGTATCCTCGGTTACGGCTCCTCCAGACAGCCTCCTCGATAATCGATCCTCGACGAGCCTTTACAGAAATTTGTTTTCCTTCGAGACGGCGCGCCGAAATCTGTTTCCGGGTTGCTGCCGGAGGACCTGGGAGTCTGGGACGCGAAAATTATAGAAATGAGAAACGGCTCATTTCCCAGGACTCGCGCGCGTCTGCTTGACGCCGGGACGACCTGCCGCCCTCCCCGACAGGCGCACGGACGCGAGGGCCCGCTCATCACTGCGCGCACAAGTGCGACCGCAGTTTTAATTATTATTATACTACTACTATAGTAGACTACTATAGGGCTCTGGGTAACGCTATGTACTGTTTCTGGTGTTAATTCTTTTAGCCATTTTGCTAACAAATACTATCGTTTAATAGCCTTATAGCCTAGCCAAGGTTATCTTGTTGTTAGCCACACTGCATAATGGTATCAGCTTTTGTAAAGCAATGTTGCCATAGATGTGTTGACGTGAGTATAGATCTAACGCTGTTGCTCTGTTTTTCTTCATTCAGTGCCCAATAAAGACAGGCTGACAGGGCAGGTCAGCGTGAGAGCCTTGTGCTACAGGTCAATGCGGAAGAGCGAGACAGCACACAGTTTGAGTGTAGGCAGGCAGCATTGACACTGTTCCCCCCTGTTTATTGAGTTTCAGTTCAGTTAAACATTAGTTTACCTTAAGGGAATCTCAACAGTGTCCTACTTCTCCCTGCTTTATCACAGCTGATTGGTCAGATATTATTACATTGTTTATGGATGTGTAAGTTTGGGGGTTCAAATATATAGTAAAAACTGCTTTAATACAATTTTCAAGGCATCTTAGTTTCCAAAGAAAGTTCATTGTGGTATTGTAGGGTAAGAGGGTAACACTAAGCATTCAGGAATACATGCTTCTTCTAGGATAATGGGTCAGTAAAAATAACCAATAATTCTACTCATAATAACCTCCTGGCTCATAGTAACAAGTGAGGTTACTAATCACTAGTATTTCTTCTCTCTTTTTTAGATAACGCTTCGTGATTCATCACCAGTGGTGCTCAAGCACAACCAGTGCTCCTGTGTTGCAGGAACTGTTTTGTGCAATCACACAGTAGCATTGCTGTTCCAAACAGCACACTACACTGAACATGCCAGTTGTGCCACCTGTGCATAGCTGTACTGAATCGGAACAGCAATGGCACAAGCCGCGAACAATGGTAATTTCAATGAGGTTCAAATACTTGTAATCTTTCACAGAGTTTTTGTTTTAAAGTGACTCAACGAACAGTAATTGTCTTTTCCTTAAGGGTGTGAAGCCAGGGCCCATCAACTCCATGGTCTTCACCAAGCCTGTACCAAATAGGATGGTGCAGACTGGAGTAAGGTCATTTTAGCTGGAAAATTGTGTTTCCTGTGTTTTTAAAATTCATAATTCTGGTGCTGTATTCCTAACCTTTATTGTCACATTAATGTGCTATATTGTCTTTGCCATTCTTTGTAGGAGTGGATTCTACAGAGGCATGGTGGGGCCATTACCAGATCCCTGCCTGTTCAGAGTTACGGAGGCATACTCAGCATTCAGCATTGAAGACAGGCCGCTTGTGACCACAATGAACATGAGACCTGACAAGCCCCTTGTGGAATGTGCCTTCGGGATTGTGCAGGAGGGCAGTGTTCTGTCCTATCAGAGGCCTGCTTTGACGTCTCGGTACACCACACTTCACACTGACACACCACCAACACCCCACTTGCCCATAGAGGGGTATGTGATCTTGCCATGTGATTTACCGCTGGTGTGCTCAGAAGAGGAGCAACTACATATGAACAGCTTATCTGTTGATTTGGAAATGTCTCACAAAATTGAGGAGGCTACCCGTGAGCAAAGCTCTAGCTCAGAGTGGCATCTGCTCCGCAAACCCAGGGTTACTGCCTCTAGGTTAAGAGAGATTTGTCACGTCAGAGGTGAGAGCTCTGCTAACTCTCTTGCAGAGCAAATACTCAAAGGTACAAGGCAGACTGCAGAAATGAGGAGAGGTACCGAGATGGAGCCCACAGTAGCAGCTGAATACAGTAGACTGGCAAACGTGAACTACTCCCCTTGTGGCCTTGTCATTCACCCCTCTACGCCCTGGCTTGGTGCCTCCCCTGATGGGAGTTGTTTTTGACCCAACAGAATATCCCCAATTTGGCCTTGTTGAATTCAAATGTCCCAATGTCCCAAATTATGTCGACTGCAAATATGTGCAGATGGAATGTGGCTCCCCTAAGCTCAAGAAAAGCCATGCCTATTACTGGCAAGTACAGGGTCAACTTCTTGTATCTGGGATGCAGTGGTGTGATTTTGTAGTGTGGGCACAAGAGGACTACCTGGTGCAAAGAATATACACAGATCCAGAAGTGCAAAGAGCAATCAGACTTTTTTTTTTTTTACACATACATGCCGAAGTACCTGTCATTAAAAAAGTAGTGGGCACTGTAGCCATTGTTAACTCTGTAAGCAGTTAGCTGCTAGACCCTGGCTCAGCCGTCATTGTTTTTAGGAGGCAATCCCTCAATCATGTGTTCTGAATGACAACAAAATGTGATTTCAATATTTTGTTTTTGATATATATTGTTTGTCACATTTCATATATGTAAATAAATATTAGGGCCGGGACTTTAACGCGTTAATTAAGATTAATTAATTACACAAAAATTAACGCATTTTAATCGCACTTATTTTTGCACCGCGGAACGTTTCTCACTGGATGAGTTTCAGGCGTACCGATTATACTGGAGCACCAACTAACGTTCATGACTTCAGACAACAACAAACCACAGTGAACAACAGTGGGAAATGTTGTTTTAAAAAACGGACGGATGGAAGCGTCGATAAGAGCACGGTTGTGTGCAAATTATGCAAAAAGGAATTCGCATATCACCGCAGCACATCAAGCCTCAAGTATCACCTCAATGCAAAAACATATAGCAGCTAGCGTGGACGTTAGCCTCTTTTATCGCGTTCACACCAAAAAGAGCTGGTACTAAAATTAGTTAATGAGAACCTTTTTACCCCCACGAAAGTCCCTGCTAGAGAGCAGAGAGCTGCTAGAGAGCAGGGACTTTCGTACGGCTCTCTTGTGAGAAAAGAGCTATATGTCTGATTGGCTGGGCGGATTGCAAACCACGCCCCGTAAAACTCCCAAAAAGTTTTGTGAAGCCGCCATTTTATTATCCTCGCATTAGCATTAGCATTAGCCCAGCGCAGAAATGCAGAGAGACTAACTTATGGCAACACAAAATAAAACATGGGAGCGGTGGAGATGAGGAGGTGTCGGCGTTCTGGCGATTTACAGTCACCAACTCCGGGGACTTCCGGCCGGGGACTTTGGGCGGCAGTATACGCCGTTTGCGGCCTGCCAGTAAACCCAAAGCAGAAGAAGAAGAAGTGACGTCAGCGGCTTCATTTGCCTAATCCACCCCCAGGTTCAAAGAGTTCTCATGAACTAAATTCTCATGAACCTTTGTGGGAAAAGTACTGCGGTGTGAATGCGCCTAATGGTATACTAAAATCCATGTGAAAAAAATTGCTTCTCACTGTTCTCAGGTCAAATATTTATATGTGATTAAAAATGCGATTAATTTCGATTAATTAATTACAAAGCCTCTAATTAATTAGATTAATTTTTTTAATCGAGTCCCGGCCCTAATAAATATACAATTGTATTTAAAAAGACAATAAAGTGAAGTGATTTGTGTAATGAATAGTAAATCAGTGCATTTGTAAGAAATCATCAACGCATTGTAATTTGCTATTTACCATTTATTCAAACAAAACACTAGCGTGTGTCAGGCAACACGGGATTACGGTGTGCTCACCCAGCTTAATCACAGCTACCTGCACAGGTGTCATCATCTTGTCTTATTTCACCCATTTCTTGACCAGTGCTTTGTTCTGATAGTTTGACAGCATACATGCTACTGCAAACAGTTGGTTGATGTTGTAGGCATGAGACAGGAGGATGACACCATCAAAAAGTTTGTCTCTTTTATCCTCCTAATGACACGCTCCACATGAACCCTCAGTCTGGCAATGGCCTGTGTCTCCCTCACCTGATAGGCTGGCATTTGCTTCTGCTTTGACAGAAAAGGTGGGCAGTACACCTTGCATTTGCAGCAATCGCTGATCAGGAAGCCCTTATCTACCATCACTGCCATGTTTTCAGTCAACAACGCAGCTATTCCAGATTGTTTGAAAATCTCCTTGTCGCTGACAGAACCACCATACAGACTGGAAACAAATGTCACTGCGCCATGTGGGGCTATGCCAACCGGGGCTTTCATGGTGCAGTGACATTTGTATGTAGAATACATTTCACTTTGGAGGAGGAGTGAGGATGGTGTTTGACACCTCAGCTCTGTGCAATCCAGGATCACCTGTGTGTCTGGGAAATCTTTGAATGCCTCTGGGAGGTGGGCTTGAACTTCTGCAGGTGTAAGCCAGATGCACTGTGACCCCAATAAAGTTGTAAGAAAACTTGTCCATGTTGCAATGATGCGGCTCACAGTGGACTGGTGTACGTTGAAGCGGTTTGCAAGGTCCCTCTCTTTCAAACCCACCGACAGGAAGCAGAGAAAAAGGAAGAACTCGTCAATTGGCTGAAGCAGCTGTCTCTGGAAGATAAACAAAAAAAGGGTACTATATTAATGTCATGAGTGTAGCACACCATGGGAAAAACATTAAGTTGTTTTAGTTCTCTGATGTATTCAAAAAGGATTGAGTACTATAGCCTTTTAGCCTACACGAAAGCAATGAAATGTTGGAGAAACATTTTCCCTTCAGTTTGTGTGTTAAAAGAAACGTAGCCTACCGTTGATGGACGTGCGTGTGTAACCACTTCTTCATTCCTCTTGGCAGCTGATATCGCTCTTGTAACAAGAACCATTTTATAAATGGAAGGCTCAATCAAAAACCAGAAGGCCATCAGGTGGTTATAGCTCGGGAATCTGTACACAAAAGACATATGTCAGTCATTAATTGACTCGTTAACTGTAACACATGGGCTAATGCTTTCCTCTTGTTTGCTATAATACATTACAATTCAAATAGACTGATTAAGAAGGCACTTGGTGCAGGTATAGTAATATACAGCAGTAACATGTAACAACTACATTAAAGCAGCAGTAATAATAATCTAAAACATACAGGGAACATTTTACACAGAATGACTACTTTTACTCTTCATTCTTAAGTGTGCAACTGGGAGAAACGCAGTGGATATTGACATGTACTTTTACTTTGGTAAGGTTTTGAAGATTTCCACTTGTAGTAAAGTATTATCAGTATGTTGTTAGTATTAGTATGTTTTACTCCACCACATTTAGTTAACCTTCATAGTTTCTAGTTACTTATGAAAACACATGATTTATGATTCTACATGTTCAGTTCAGGAGTATTTTCAAACCATAGTATTTGTACTTATACTTCAGTTAAGTTGAGTAGCCTACTTATTCCAACACTGCATGCAAATAGTCAGCAGTCAAACGGCAGGTAAACAGGATTCTTTATAAGCTAACCCATCTCAAAAACTTGGATAGAATTTAGCCAAAACATTACCTGGTATAGAATCGGATGTTGTCGTCGGAGCCAGCAAACCGCTGTAAGCAAAACTCTTGCTGGACTCTTAACTCCTGCAGTTGCTTCTGCAGATCCTCCAATGTTTTGGAGTTGTCTTCTGTAGCTTGAGAGGACATGTCCAGTGAAGCTGGTTCAGGGGTTGAGCAGTAATCATGGTCACGGACATCGATGTGCTCTTCCTGCTCCTCCCGAGAGACTGGTTCAGTGGGCCGCTCCCTTCTCTCCCAAACACTAGCCCGCGGTGTTTGAGCAGTGAAGTGATTCCACTCAAACAGAGTTGGGACAGCACCTTTCACAAGCCTCCTACGGCCATCAAGGGTTTTTGGCTCTATTAGTTGATCCGTAGCGAAGTGACGACTGCAGACCTTGGAGTGAGAGGAGATTGTAAAGTTATCGCGTCGTATTTTAACCAGCCACTGTCTTCGCAGCTCGAGTTCGGTCGGAAAGCCATGGAAACTTAGGACGCCGTTGAATTTAGCTGACGCCGTACAAAGTGGGACACAGCAGTGCTTGGAGTAGTTCTTTACTTGTCTTTGCAAATGCTCCGTTTTGAAAATCTTCCGTCGACTCATATTTAAACCACAGATTTAAACAGTAAAACATTTGTGGACGCTCAGCTACGCAGACCAGAAGCAACCCGGAAGCATCCGAGCAGTATAACGGCTAAGGCGGAAGTACGTCTCAGACCCTAGTGCATGTAGCCTATTACTGTTCGTTGAGTCACTTTAAAACAAAAACTCTGTGAAAGATTACAAGTATTTGAACCTCATTGAAATTACCATTGTTCGCGGCTTGTGCCATTGCTGTTCCGATTCAGTACAGCTATGCACAGGTGGCACAACTGGCATGTTCAGTTCAGTGTAGTGTGCTGTTTGGAACAGCAATGCTACTGTGTGATTGCACAAAACAGTTCCTGCAACACAGGAGCACTGGTTGTGCTTGAGCACCACTGGTGATGAATCACGAAGCGTTATCTAAAAAAGAGAGAAGAAATACTAGTGATTAGTAACCTCACTTGTTACTATGAGCCAGGAGGTTATTATGAGTAGAATTATTGGTTATTTTTACTGACCCATTATCCTAGAAGAAGCATGTATTCCTGAATGCTTAGTGTTACCCTCTTACCCTACAATACCACAATGAACTTTCTTTGGAAACTAAGATGCCTTGAAATTGCCCCGCTGAACTTACTTTTCTGTAGTTTACCGTTCTGTGACATATCAGTATAGCCACGGAAGATAGTTTGTGTGTTTCATTCCCATGCATCAAGGTTATTTTCATGTATGTAATTGTTTTTCCTGCACAGTGTAGAGTCTTGTTGTGATGAGAGGGATACAGGTATTTCATTAAAAAAACGTGCTCCCTGGAGAATAGCTACAGCATCTATATCACAATTTATTCGGAGCTGATCACAACCTGTCATGAGTGATCCAGTCATGTCGATGAGCGTTCGGGCTGTGAATAAACGACTTGTGTTTTACTTTTAGGCTGTCTGAAGGTATGGACAGCTATCAAAGCTACTATAGATCACATTAATAACGATGTACAAATGAAAGTCGGACACAAATATATAATTTAAATGATTTATTCAAGTTTGCAATATTTTGAACAGGCATCCACACAGTCACCTACTTTGTAATGTTCGATACCTCCCTGTAAGCGTCACGATATCCACCTCTCACCCACAACCTCACATACGAGTACTGAATGTGCATCAAAGTGATCTTAGGAAGGCAGATATAGCAAAAGATGAACGTAAACGACAAAAGAGGCGATCGACATGGTAAGTCAACAATGGGTCCTCAATGTACACGCCCCCGATTCCTATGACGAAAATAATAGAATGTCGCCAGTTGTCATGACTCACGTTATACTGCAACACCGGTTACCTTCTTACCTTCATAGTTGTGTATATATGACGCAGCATATCATTTGAAGCCTTTATCGAGTTTGCTGGCTGGGGCTTTAGTCGTCCGGCAAATCCGATGAACATCTGACATTTTTAATTTCGGAAGCTCTTGTAGGCAGCGGGTGTAGAAGGTCGTCATTTTCAAACAGGAAATGAATCGGCCGCTATGAGTAGAATGCGGAAGTGACTGTGCATGTAGCCTATTTACCCTGGGCCGAGTGCTTGGTTTTGGGCATGAAAATTCAGGAAACTCCCCTGAGTATTTTATTAAATATCTGAACTTTGGAGAGGAGTTGGGGGACACACGACACATCAAATCACATCTACAGATCAAGACGAAGCTATTGGAGGTGCTCCTAGCGTGTGAAAATGTTTGTGAAAAACGTGTGCAAAGTCTCCGAAAACGGAGCAGTGGCTGTGATGCTAGCTTTGCGGCTAGCGGTTAGTTGTTATTGTTTGAAGTTGTTTCTATGGAAACAACATGACGGAGAAAAAATCAATATCTTCTACATATAATAACGGACAAAGTAAAGAATGAAGTGTCGGCTATGTTTAAATGTTCGGAATTTGACCGTGATGGCCCTCTTGAGTTGCTGTAAAATATGACGAATATGACGGATGACGGATGCGACGGAAATACACCCGAACATATCTGGTACTGACACCGGCTCGATGAGCGAACTATGGATAAATTAAAAAAAAGTACCGGAGGAACACAGGATTTAATTCTGTGTGGACAGAGTTATATGCTTTCACAGCAAACGATGCTGGTTTACCGGTATGTTTGATATGTAGAGAGAAGTTGTCAAAGGTGCTGCAGCCTTTACGTATCGAGGAACAACAAGGGAGAGGAAGACAGCTGACGATCTTCAGTCATAATTCAATGGGGTATGTAATTTATTTCAGAAAACCCTTTTTGTTATATTCCATGGAATGCTCTTAACGTCCCAATGAATATATTAAATGCTTTGACAATAAATACATACAAAAATTAATCTCTGGAAGCCGTAGCGCTGTAAAAAGCACGCCGGCCCGGCTAAAGTAACTGGATGGCCGACCTGCCTGTCAGCCTTCCATCTGTGCACACAAACCTATCTCGTGCCCTCATTGGTCATGTGCGCATTCGTGTGTGTTGGAGGAGGGACTCTGTAAGAAAGTCTGAAGGAAGAGGCATATTTTTTCCGGTTGAGTACTTTCAAATTCGAGCGCACTCGAGCTGGTTTCTCCATTCTTACCTACCTTTAACTCTTTTTAGGGTGCAGCTATATGTTTTATTTATTTCAAAGTGGGCCCATTTTAATAATATTTTTTTCCCCTTCAAATGTGCAGAGGACTCCCCAAGTGCTGTGTTTAATTTATTTTAAAGTAGGCCTGTGTATTATTTGTAATTCTCCTTATAGGAGTTCTTTGTTTCTTATTAGAGGTTAACAGTTTTATATCATGTAATAAATAGCCTAATAAATGCAAAAAAACTGTAGTTTTTGTCTGATATAACAATAAAAAACTATGAAATATGTTTTGCGGCTCCAGACAAAAAAATGTTTTGGAAAAAGGAGCAAAATGGCTCTTTTGGTCAAAAAGGTTGCAGACCCCTGGACTAGAGCAGTGTTTCTCAAACTTTTTCATACCAAGGACCACTTAACCAATAAAAAAACACTCGCGGACCACCTAACTCCACAAATATCCCAAAACACATCGTTTTTTGCAAATCGCCTTCAAATGGTACAAACAAGTGGCCACATGTGTGATGAAGGTGTTTATCTGGGCTATATCATGCAATTGAAAGTGAAACTTAAGCTCGCTCCATTGCGGAGATATTCCCGCGAGTGCGGAAAACTTGAATTAATTAATTAATTTCAAATGTGAAATGTTACCAATATACTCACGGACCACTAGGGGGCGCTCACGGACCACCAGCGGTCCGCGGACCACACTTTGAGAAGCACTGGACTAGAGGAACCTTTGTAGGTTTCAGTGGTATGTGACTGAAATAGGTCTCGTACACATGAGCAGGCAGCAGTGACACTGAAGAACCAGTATCTACTATCATCTCAAATGACTGGTTAGCAGGAGAAAGTCCCAAATCTACAGTGCATATTATTTTCTTCTCTTTTGGGGCAGTATTATTCAGCAATAAAACAGTCAGTTCTGGAATAACGACCTCCCTCACTTCACGTTTTTGTTCTGAACGACACAGTTTTTCCACAGGATTTGCATATGTTGTTTGTAGCAGGGCATTGTGTGGAGTTGGCCATATGTTTATCTGAATCACATCTGTAACATCTTCGTGCTTGCTCAGACTTTCTCTCACCTTTCCTTTGTTTACTTGCAGCGGGAAGTTTTTGTTCCCATTTTGGCGCCCTGATCTCTCTCACAGGCACTTCACTGTTGGAGAACTCGGCCACGTTGCGCACCGCCGTTTCCACCTGATTTGCAATCTGAATGGCTTTATCCAGTGTCAGTTTGTCTTCTAGCAGCAAGCGTTCACGTATGCGTCCACTGTAGGCTTTTTCCACAATTTGATCACGCAGCATATCCTGTTCTGCATTTCCAAATTCACACAAAACGATAATTTCACGTAGCGCAGAGACGTACTGTGCAATTGTTTCATCATGTCTCTGGGCTCGTTGGCGGAACTTGTGTCTCTCCGCAATTACGTTTACCTTCGGCACGAAATGCGCCCGTAGTGCAGTCACGGCATGGTTGCATGTAGTTCCCGTTTCAGTCAATGTGTAGAAAATCCTCTGTGCTTCGGTTCCGACTGTGTAGCAGCGTAGCACGTATACGGGTATCCGGCCACTTGGCTCCTTCCACGTCGATCACTAGCAGGTAGTTTTCGAACATTTTTAGCCATGTTCCAAATGGCATAGTAGGTTCTCCCGGACACTGAAGAAAGGTGGGAGGTAAAGGAGTAGAAGCCACGGCCATCCTCGTCGCCAATTTGTTGTGTATTAGTAAAAAGACATTAATGAAGCAAGGGACAGAGGATACGGGTACTAAGCTCTTTACTGTTGTTCATTCTTCTTTCTTCCGCCACAGCATCAACTCCCGGGCATACACTTATTCTCTCCACATTGTAGGTTACTCTGGTTACACGGCGCCACCTATTGGCAGGAGTATATCAGAACACAACAATCTCCGTCCTCCGTGTTTTATTCTTATATAAGTAAGAAGAGAAGTAATGGGGCAGAAACCCTCCTTTTTACGCAGCGGTCCAGACATAGACATCAAACGGCGACACATATTCAGTTGGCAGTTACTTTGGCATTAGGGCAGGGATATCTAGATACTTCCCAAGGTCTGACATCATGAAGTGTGCTACTTTTAAAGCAAGCAACGATGTTTTCAAATCTAATCAAAAAGCTCCTCAAAAACACTGTCGAAGCAGTTCCTGCCGTTGCTACGTTAGTTCAAACAGTAACAACGGACTACTTTTCTTAGCGGATGCATGTCAATTTAAATCAATACATACAACTATTTTTTAAGTCAATAAAATCATTTTCTAAATCCATAAAAGCATTTCAATTAATATTAGGAGTCATGTCGTTACTTTGTTGAGAATGTGGCCATGTGTAATAAGCGGGATAATGTGCACATTGCATAATGTGCCTTCATGCCGATCTAGATCCCTCCGCAAAAAAAACAAAAAAACGGCTCGTTCGCGGGCGAGAGCCGGTGTCAGTACCAGATATGTTCGGCCTACCAAATATGTTCGGGTGTATTTCCGTCGCATCCGTCATCCGTCATATCCGTCATATACTCACCTCCCTCTGCTCCCAGCGCTATGCTGCCACACACCGGCCGTCTGCGGAACTGCAGCCGGAGGAACTCGGTACAGCTTGTTATGTGTGAACGATCTAGATCCCTCCGCTTCCCCATAATTACCGCGACCATTTTAACTTTCATGACAGAAATGGAGAGCTTTTATGCTGAGATAAAGCAGTACGTGCTCAATGGTGGTTACCACAATCTCACCATCGCCGCTGAAAAGCATGATAAAAGGAAGGCGTTAATTCGGAGGGCATCCAAACAATACCTGATCAAAGGTAAGTAACAGAATAAGACCATGGTTAAGTCACGAACATACGTTTTTATTATGAGGTATAAACCCCCTGTACATGTGACATCATCACATCCCTTTACTTATAGGGATCAATAAAGTATATATCTATCTATCTATTTATCTAATGGTGTTTTTTGGTGCAAAAGTGATCATACCTCTAATGGTTTATCATATTGCAATTCCAACATTTTTCAGTAAATCGCAAGGACTCCACAGCTTGTTTCTCCTTTTTCTTTTTATACACACTTTACATTACTGTAGTTGTTACGTCTAAACCACATTTGCCACTGGATTTCTTGAACAGCTTTTAGTCATAATGTCATCTCTACACATGTCTAAATGATTGTTTTGTTGTTCCTGTTGTGCCAGCTGGAGATTTGTACTACACATACAAGGACAATGAGAGGATGGTTGTGTGCACCAAGGACCAAATTATCAATGTCCTGAAGGAGTGCCATGATAACCTGGGTTCCGGAGGTCATGCAGGGAGAAGGCGCACCACCGAGAAGGTTTTGGCAACGTACCACTGGTCCACTATGCGGGAGGACGTGAAGAAATGGGTGGGAGTTTTTGACTGACTGACTGATTATTGATCTACAGAAATGTGTTGTATGTGTACATTGAAACAGAGTGAGACATGTGTGGATCTCATTGGCCCACTTCCCTCCACTGCTAAGGGCAAAAAGGTACTATCATGATGGGCTGAAGCATGTGTAACCTCCTTTAAAGGTTCTAAACGTGAAGAATCTGGTTTAAAAAGAAAGGAAATCATTTACAGTGATTCTGTATGTATTTACAAACATTCTGCATTTTATATTGCAGATACATTCTAACAGCGACTGATCTGTTCACGAAGTGGGTGGTAGCAAAAACGCTCTACCACAAAACAGCTGTTGAGGTCTCAAAAAGATTGTAAATATTCTTCTCGATTTCGGTCTTGTCGAGAAGATCATTACCGACCAAGGACGGGAATTTGTCAATGAGGTACAATAATCTATCTAATACAGTGTATGTGTTATGTGTAACAATGTAATACGATTTTTCAGGTAATTTGGTAATTGGTGTACACTAAACCATCTGCAGGTCAACCGTGGTGTTTTTGATGCACTGGGTGTAAAACACTGCATCACTTCAGCGTACCATCCCCAGTGCAATGGCCAAGATGAGCGTACAAACCAAAACATAAAAAAAGCACTTGCAAAGTACTGTGGAGAGGACCAGAATGACTGGGATTTACATCTGAGGGGCATTGTGGCGAGCATTAACACCTCAAAGCAGGTACAATGTTGTAACAAATGCAGATGGAAACAATACTCAACAGAGATACTAAAAGGAATTTTTATGCTTTCAGAGGTCAACCAAGTGCACGCCCTATTTTGCCCAGTTTGGAGGCACCCTCGCGTCCCGGGTGTTATAAATGCTACAGTCAATGACAGGGATGATACCTCTGTTTTGGTGCCTGCTGATGAGGCAGAACAGCAGCTTGAGGCAAAGGCTGCAACCATTGCAGATTTGCACTCGAAGGGTGAGAATAAAATGGCAATATTTAAAACATAATAACTCCTAAAAAATGCAAGCGTATGTTAAGGACTGTAAATGATAACTGTTACATATCTTTCTCAGATTTACCAGAACATCCAAATAGCACAACAGAGACAGAAAATCTCTTTTGAAAAACGCAAGGGAAAGAATGTGAAATCTTTCCTGATTAACGTTGGAGATGAGGTCCTAAGAGCGAATAAGAGGAAGGAGGGCCGAAAAGGTGGAAAACTGGAGTGCAACTGGTTTGGCCCTTATGTGGTTTCCTCAATCACCAACAAGGGTGTGGCAACCCTGTTGAGCTCAACAGGAGCTCAGCTGAGACAGAGTGTGAATGTGTCTCAGCTGAAGCCCTTTTATCAGGCCTATGTTGAGAGGTATTTTGATTATCAATACAAGGACACATTTAGGTATACTTCATGTGTGGTACTTCAATAATACTGTTTATTTTTTGTCTATCTAATAACAGCTGAACCGAAGTTGGATTCGGAGGGGGTCAGTTGCTGACCACCAGTATGCCCTCTCTGGTGCGAAATACGCAAAGGATCTACATCCGATTCAAGACAAGCTGGTAGATATATGTTTACTTCATGCACAGTGATGGAGGTGCATTGTTTTGATTTTAATTTTTCTATGTTTTCTATTGGCTTGAAGTATGTTTTGCAATCTGTTATTTGCAGCTCAGCTATGTGCTAGACCACAATAGGCCTGGAGCAGAGGTTCATTGTGAAGGAGGGTGATGTGTGCCTGACCAGAGAGGACTTTTGGAGCCTGGGTCTTCCTCAGTGCATGGAGTCAAATGTAGGTATACTTGAGCTTTCCTCCCAACTTCATCTTGTCTCAAATAAATGGCACAGGTAACTTACTGTTGTTACTGTTTCAGATTGGAAACACGTGCCTGAAGATGGTACAAGAAGCCACCCAAAGACATGTACGGTTTTTCAACAGACATCATTGGCCTGCTTTTTTCTTTTGAATAACACATATTTTCTAAATAGCTGTTTAGTGGTGAAACTCCAATCTCGTGAAGTGTGGTTGTCTCTTGTTGTTGAACATACTTCTATGAAGATTTCATTTTTTTTGAAAAACTATCAATATAGGGCAAAGATATATACATCGTGGATATGTATGTGGTTCCTACCTGGAAGTCCAAAACAGCTGACGTGTTGGCCAGTTTTCCAGTAAGTTCCTGTTGCTTGAGACCTATGTTTCTTGAAATTGATATACAGCAACTTAAAATCCCTTGTTTAAAATACTAGGCTGACCAATTGGCCACCAAGGACATGGTTTTCATCCCTGCCTGGAGTCGGCAGCAAGGAAAGGCAGATCACTATTTGCTTTGCGTGAGTCTGTTCCAAATGATCTCACCAGCATGTACAAAATGAACATAAGTTGTGCTGTGTGGTTTTCTTCTGGTGTTTGATTATGTCTAATTTCAGCTATTTTGTCAATGGTTGACAGGTGATCAAGCCAGCAAAGAGAGAGTTATATTTGCTCGACCCTCTTAAGCCAGATGGCTTTGGGGACAATTCCTACAAGGACATATTTAGGTTTTTGTAACATGATTACCCCCTCACCGTTCTGTGGCTTGTATGGGAGTTCTAAATAGTTTATAGTATTCTAATACTGCAGTAACCATCTTGTAGACCAGGGGTCTGAATCTGATCAAATTCATTTATAATATATCTCCATTTCCACAAAGTCTGGAGTGTCCTTAGTGGAACCAAAAGAAAAAGAGTCTGCAACAGGATGCTATGAATTATAATATTCATTTTGTTATAAGCCTTGTTCAAAGGTTGTTTTCAAGTTCAGCTTTGTTCAGCGGCTGGTAAACGTATTTTTGTTTGTTTTATTTTAGCCCCGTTCAGTGGCTTTCATAACTTTCCTCTTTTAAGGCATGCAATAGTTCAATGTAAGGAAATCCAAAAACATGAATTATATTGTGTATAGCGTTCCTTCACCAAATCAATTCCCATGTCTTATCATTTCTTTTGACAGTGACCTAGCGCACCGCATTGCTCCAGGTCAGTGGACAGTAAAGTTCGGCAGAGACGTCAAGGTACATTTCTCCACCATCTCATACACCTGCTTTCACATGTCTTTATTTTCCATTTGACCATGAACATCACTGTTATATTCCAAATTCTTACAGGGTTAGCCTCACCAAACCACGGGCAATGACTGTGGTGTCTTCATACTGATGGTAAATTCCCTCCTTGACACTTTTTTTTAAGGGGTTTTGTTAGTTTTTGAAACTCATAACTTAACAGATCTTTATCCTTTCACAGTATGCACTCAACTTCAGCACAGATGCTCTACTTTGGTTTACCGAGGTCAGTATTTATCCTCTGAGTTAGTATTTCAGGGGGAAGAGGGGGCTAACATTGAGTAGACAAATGATGAGGTTCCATTCATTTTCAACTTTATTATTGTTACATTTTCTTTTAGCGGGACATAGCACAGATCCGGAAA